TTATGAACAACGCCCCGCAGAGGAGAGTGGAGAGTCAGCGCCCCTTGCCCAGGAGTGCGGGAAACTTTACGGAATACAACGATTCCTTGAAGAACATTCTGCAGTACGTGAAGGATAGAGGGTACCATGTGCGTTGGCCGGGACCCATGCGTGGGCAACCGAATGAGCGAAATCTTGACCGATACTGCGACTTCCATCGGGATAAAGGGCACCATACGGCCGATTGCTACCAACTAAAATCGGAGCTGCAGACTCTAGCCGATCGAGGGATGCTCAACGACTTTATAAGAAAAACAGACGAGCGGACCCATCGTGCTTACGTCACAAGGGAAACAAGGCAGGCGCCCGTCCTCCCCACAGTGCCACAGGCGCCTGAGGTTCACCCAGCCCCGCTTGAGATACCCCCGCCCCCCATTTGAGGTGAATCAAGAAGGAGAACCCGGCCAGGTAAGACTCACCGTGGAATCCATAAGTGGTACCATTGACTTGCGAGATAAGTTGGATCGTTCTAGGCGCCTCAGGGCGGCGTCCGTGGAAGCAAAGGCGGCCGTCCAGATATGCTTTAATCAGGAGGCGGATGAGGCATGTCAAGTGCCTTCGGAGGAGGCTTTGGAGATACAAGGAATCATTGCAGGGTGCAAAGTTAAAAGGATGTTGGTAGATACGGGAAGTTCGATGGACGTTTTATTCAAAAGCACATTCGAGCGCATGCAGTTGGCGCCGGAGTTGGTAAGCCCCTCTGATTCAGTGCTGATTGGGTTCTCGGGGGCGCCTGCTCATGTGATAGGGCGTGTGCGCCTCCCGGTTACGTTGGGTGATGGAACGCATCGAGTAACACATGCAGTGGAGTTTGGATAGTGGATTGCCCCTCACCGTACAATGTCATACTGGGGAGGCCCCTTTTAGCATTATTCAATGGGGTGGCCTCAACTTGTCACCAAACGTTGAAGTTCGTCGCCCCGCAAGGCATAGGAGTCTCAAGAGGAGAAAGCGCCCCCGCTACGCGCGAGAGGAAGAAAGGAGAAGGAAAGGCGCCCGAAGGCACAGGGTAAACAACATAGATATCCGCCCAGAAGAAGCGCCCAGAGCAGAGCCTGTGGATGATGAGTTCAGTGTGGCGATCGAAGAAGGGCGCCTAGACCGTCAAGTGCGAGTGTCAGCACAGGCGCCAGAGCACATGAGGGCGCCCTTAATCAATTTGTTAAGAGAATTCGGGGAGCTCTTTGCGTGGAGCCCTCAGGACATGCCGGGAGTGTCTACAGACGTGGCGGCGCACCGGCTGGCCGTCGAAGAAGGAAAAAGACCTGTCCAACAAAAACGAAGAAATTTGACTCAAGAGAAAGAGGAAGCCCTGCGGAAGGAGGTCGATAAGTTGCTCGAGGCAGGATTTGTTGAGGAGGCCAGGTATATCACTTGGCTGTCGAACGTTGTATTCGTCCCAAAGCCATCGGGGGATTGGAGAATGTGCGTGGACTTTACAAACCTTAATCGGGCGTGCCCGACGGATGCTTACCCGATGCCGCGCATTGACCTGCTTGTGGATGCCACGGCCTACCATGAGGCGCTTAGCTTCCTTGATATGTTTTCGGGGTATCATTAAATTCCCATGGTGGAGGAAGATAGAGCAAAGACCGCCTTTATGACCCCTTTCGGCAATTTCTGCTATAGAGTGATGGCATTTGGTTTGAAGAATGCAGGCGCCACATATCAGCGTATGGTAAATCAAATCTTTCGTGGGCAGTTGGGAAGGAATGTCGAGGCATATGTTGACGATTTGATCGTGAAAAGCAAGAGGCGCCAAGACCACATCTCGGACCTGAGGGAAACATTCGAGACTATGCGCCTGTACAAGCTGCGGCTCAACCCGAAGAAGTGCGTGTTCTTAGCAGAAGCCGGTAAATTTTTGGGATTCATGATCACAAAGAGAGGAATTGAGGCCAACCCCAAGCAAGTTGAGGCAATCATGAATTTGAAGCCCCCCCCCCCCCCCCCCCCGAACGCCTAAGGAGGTGCAAGGGTTGACGGGAAGATTGGCGGCGCTGGGCCGCTTCATTCCAAGAGCCTCCGATCGAGGCGCCCCCTTTTTCAGAACTCTAAAAAAGGCAAGCAAGTTTAAATGGACGGAGGAGTGCGATGAGGCATTCGGAGATTTAAAGAAGTTGCTAACCGCGCCCACTGTGATGACCGCGCCTAAGATTAAGGAGACGCTGTACTTGTACATTGCGGTGTCCCGGATCGCGGTGAGTGCGGTGTTGGTGTCCAAAGATCCGTCGACGAATGAGGAGAGGGCGGTATACTACGTGAGCCGCACCATGGTGGTGCACGAAACAAGGTACGCGCCCATTGAAAAAGCAGCGTTGGCGGTGGTGATGGCGGCTAACAAACTCCGACCTTACTTCCAAGCTCACAGCATCGTGGTACTCACGAACTTGCCTCTCCGAACGGTCCTTGGGTCCATGGATGTTTCGGGGCGCCTGGTTAAATGGGCCGTCCAGTTGAGCGAGTTTGATGTGAGTTATGCGCCCAGACCAGCCATCAAGGCGCAAGTGCTGGCCGATTTCGTGGCTGAAGGAGTGGTTGACGCGGGGGATGGCGCGGAAGAGTGTTGGCAAGTTCAAGTGGATGGAGCGGCAAGTCGAGCTGGCGCGGGAGCAGGTATTGTGCTAATTAGTCCCCAGGGCGCGATGCATGAGGTCGCACTGCGTTTTGCAACTCTTAAGATGAACAATGCGGCATAATACGAAGCGGTCCTGGCGGGGCTCCACATGGCAAGGGAGCTGGGCGCCCAGAGGGTTAATATTCAGACTGACTCAGCGCTCGTGGTCAATCAGTTGAACAATGTGTACGAGGTGAAGGAGGAGGCGCTCGGGGCATATGTTCAATCCGTCAGAGAGAAGTGCGTGTGGTTTCGGGAGGCTACGTTCACACACGTCCCAAGAGAAGAGAATGCCCATGCGGACGCCCTATCTAAATTGGCCACGGTGTTGGATTTTGGAGAAGACAGAAAAGTGATCGTTACCAAGGAAGCCCCGCGTGATGAGGGGGTGATGGCATCTATCCTCGTATGAACAATGGAAGGATGGATGGCGCCTATCATGCTTTACCTAACGCAGGGCGTGGTCCCGGAGGACCCCAAAGAGGCTTGGCGTTTGAGAAGGAAAGCGGCACGATGTGTCCTCATGGAAGGAGTGTTATACGAAAGATCCCACTCGGGCGCCTATCTACGTTGTCTCACGGAGGCAGAAGGACAAAAGGCTATCGCGGAAGTGCATCAAGGAACGTGTGGAATGCACGCAGGCGCCCGGAGCCTAGAGAATGTGTTGCTAAGGCAGGGTTATTATTGGCCCACAATGAGGGCCGACGCTGGGAAGCATGTGGCCGAATGCCACCAATGTCAAATCCATGCCAACGACATACATGTGTCGGCTGCGCCCATGCAGGGAAACGTAGGCGCCTGGCCGTTCGCACAATGGGGGATGGATCTTTTGGGACCCTTCCCCAAGGCGCCCGGGCAATTTAAGTACTTGATTGTGGCTATTGACTATTTTACCAAGTGGATTGAGGCAGAACCCTTGGCATCCATCACTGAAGTGCAAGTGCGGAAGTTTACAAGAAAGAACATCTTCACAAGGTTCGGGCTGCCGGAGTCGATCATCACCGATCATGGCAAGCAGTTTGATTGCAAGAAATTTATCGACTTCTGCGACAAAAATGGGGTGGTCCTGAGATTCTCTTCTGTAGCTTATCCGCAAGCAAACGGGCAAGCTGAGGCGGCCAACAAGAGTATATTGCATGGGCTGCATACCAGGCTCGCAGAAGCCAAGGGGAACTGGGTGGAGGAGCTTCCAAGCGTCTTGTGGGCGCACAGGACCACCTTCAAAGTTGCAACCGGAGAAACACCCTTTGCACTGACGTATGGCAGTGAAGCGGTGTTACCAGTGGAGGTTTCCTTTCCGACCTTTCGAATGGCGCATAGGGGGGAGGCAATGGAGGAACAGGAGCGGATCAATGAGTTGGACCTCCTTGATGAGCGTCGCGAAAAGGCGGCTCTGCGCCTGGAAGCAATGAAGTCGCAAGTAGCCCGATACTATAACAAGAAGATGCGCCCGCATGACATTGTGGCTGGGAGCTTGGTGCTGAAGCGCGACTTTCGCCCAAAAGCCACTGATGGTAAGTTGGCACCAAAGTGGAAGGGGCCATATCGTGTGCAAGAGGTAGTCGGGTCGGGCACGTTTAAGCTGGAGCACTTGTCGGGAAAGAAGGTCAAGAGAACTTGGAACGCGCAAAACCTGCGAAGGTATGAAATCGGGGAAGCAAGTGTGATGGGAGAAGAGGGTAAGGTGCCCGAGGGGGCGGCCAGCAAGTGGTAATTACGAAGGGGAAGTGCAGAACCTTGGGGTGCTTTTTGGTAGGAGTAGAGCAAAGCGCTTCAATGCGCCCGGGATACTTAAAGCGCCCGGATATATATTTATGTAAAGCGCCCTTCAGCGCCCAGAAATATTTTTGTAAAGCGCCCTTCAGCGCCCGGGATACTTAAAGCGCCCGGAAATAGCGCCCCAAGATTGTTCTTTATTTTGAAATCGGAATATATACATACATAGGTACTTCCTTACCCCGCCTATAGCACCAATTCATTGTGCCCTCAAAGCGCCCTGTCTACATAATGCGCCCTCACACCACATACGTGGACCCTTAATCGGGCATGATAAGTAATGCGCCCCAAGTTAACGCCCTGGTTATTAAATCATCGTGCCCTCACATCAATGCGCTCCTATATCAAATAATGCGCCCTTACATCGAATGAAAGTAACCCTGGTTATCATGTCCATCACCATTTTGCAAAAGTAAAGTAAAATGTCCAAGTAAGGCATCAACAAAGTCAAGGTGCGGAGGATCATAAGAAAGTTCAAAGCATAGAAAGATAGTAGCAAAAACATGGAAAAGATAAGTCTGACACCACATTTACACATGGGCGCCCATAATCTTGCTATAAAATAATCCTACTCCTCGCCTGATGACTCGTCGCCAGACTCTGAGCTTGATCCCGAATCTTCTCCTTCATCCTCCGGTTCCTGAGGTGGCGCAGGAGCAGGATCCACGACGGGGCGCCCACTGGCCATGAAGTCGATGACGAAATTGGCCATCTCCTTGACATCCCAATTGATAGTGGGATGGTCAGCCTCCAACTTCCTCTTCAAAATGAGGATGCTGTTGAGGGAAGCCTGGGCCTTAAGCGCCATGTCTGAGACGGGCGCCGTCTCCGTCGCTTTCCCTTGCTTAAGCGCCTCCAACTCTTCCTGGCGCCTCTTGTTCTCCCTGGTCAAAATCTTCTTCTCCTTCTCCAGCGCCATCTTCTCTTCAGTGAGGAGGTCGATTTCGCTCCTTTGGGCGCCCGCTTCCTTGTCCAGATCATCTCTTTCCTTCACAAGCTTGGCCATCGCCTCATGATGCGCCCGTTTGACACTCTCGAGCTGGGCCTCGTGCTCTGATTTCAATCTCTGCTTTTCCTCGTCGATGGACTTTTGGACAAGAGAGATAGCCTTTGCAGCCTCGAGGTTGGCATCCTTGCACGCTTGCACCAGCTCCGCTTGGCGCCTCTGCGCGGTCGCTAAATCATCCCTCATCACACTAAGGGAATTGGCCGCCTCATTCTCTCCCATGCGCAGCGCCTCGCTTGCCAATGCGCCGTTCTTGGCGAGCAAAAGCATCTAAAAAAAAAGATGCAAGTTAATGGTTGTTACGCGTATGCAAAGTGATAAGAAAGGAGGCTAGATGGGCGCATACCTGGGTAGCCATGCGAGCCACTTCTCCCCACAAGTTTGCGCCCTGAACATCGCTAGGCGCCCTCAGGACCTCGGCCGCGTGAAAGGCAAAACCGAGCGCCGAGCCCCTCTCCAAAGCCGACCTGTCAGAGCAAGCAATGTTGACCCTGTGCCTTGGTGGTTGCAGCCACTTCTCAACAAACTCGGGCACACGCTCCTCTGCGCTTGTGCGCTGCCTTTTGCTTGGCACCTGTGCATCTCCCTCAACGTTCTTCCTCTTCAATTTATGCCCTAGAGGGACATCGTCGATATCCAACTCCGCATCGGACGGAATGTCAACGCTGGGCGCCCTATCTTCGGGTTGCACGACACTAGGCGCAACCTCCTCCTCCTCCACAAGAGAGACGATAGGCGCCTTCTGTGTATTGGTACGCCGGGGGCTTGAACGCCCCTTCGATTTCCGTGAAGCGGCAGGCGCATCAGCCTTAACTCCGGAGGAGGAGGACTTGTTCTTCCCTTTCTTCGACGTGCCTTTTTTCGGGCGTGAGGGCGCCTTGCCACCAAAGTCGGGCGCCTTGTAGTCCAGCCCCATGCCCTCAAGTTGAGTCCTCATCAGTGAGGCAATGGTCGTGAAGTCCACACCTGCGTAATAATATATGCACGGTTAAAGGAAGGCATGATAATCATTCATCAAGTGTAAAGTAAAATGGGCGCATGATAGTCATTCATCAAGAACAAAGGAAAACATGTTCAACACATTGGCGCTACTAAGCGCCTACCTACCGTCAGCGTAGTACTCATGTAATACTGGGGTCCTAGCGGCTGTGGAACTTAGGTTCACTGGGTGGAGAGATAACAGGCGCGCGTGATCTTTCTCTTCAGGAGATAGTTCCACGTCAACGTTGAAATGCGTGGTAGTACCAAGTTTCCAATCCCGGGTGAAGCATGCGCCACTCTCGTAAAACGATTCTGCTCGCGCCTTAATAAAAAAGTAGCCCCTATACCACTTGCGCCCCAACTTTGGGCAATCTTCTACAAAGTGTCCCGGGATGTCCAGGCGCCTCTGAAGGGACAAACAGTTGTCACTGCTTGTCATGGTGAAGAAGTACCGAAACAGCTTGAACGTGGGCGCAATGTTATTCTGGCGGCACTTCAGTTTGAAAAGAATGTGAAGCAAAAAGACGGAGGGCGATAGGCGCCCCAGAGAACAGGCGCATGTAGTGAGGATCCCCTCTAAAATCGAATCCAAGGGAAAGCGGAGCCCAAACTTAAAATACTCCCTATATATACCAAGCCACCGTGGGCCAATTGCACCTATCCTTGCAATTGAGGATGCAGGCGCATAAGACCAAGTGCGGGGCAGGTTGCACGAGGTAATCAGTCGGTGCATCTCGGGTACTTTGATGGTGGACGAGTGTTTTGGCCCGGCTCGCCGAACAGATAGTTTGCTGGTGCTATCAGGCGCCTCCCCTTGTGGCCAGGTATCTTCCCAATCCACTATCTTGAACGACCCGTCTTCAGGGGCGCCCGAGTCAGTAGATGACGGAGAAATCGCCAAATCGCTCGACACTGATGAGGTAGGCGCGGAGCCTAAAAGTGATCCAAGCGTCCTTAATCAATACTACGGACCTAAGACCTTTGGTGGGCGCCTAGCACAGGGTCCAAGTGAAATTAGGAAAATTCAAACAGAGAGAAAAGTGAATTACCCGGATTGGTGGCGGCGGGTGCAGTCGAGGCCGCTGTCACCTTGGGTATCTCGGCATTGGTAGGCGCGGAGGAAGCAGGCGCAGGCTTGGTGTTCTTAGGCGCCTCGGATTCAACAGGCGCAGAAGAAGGAGTAGATTTGGTGTTTTTAGGCGTCTCCTTCCGAGATCGAGGCGCCCGTTGGTCTTGGTTGCGAAGCGGGTCGGGGGACAGATGCTTCTCAAGCACATCAAGCACGCTGGGCGCTGCGCTTCCGGTTTTTTCGCTGGTGGTGTCGGCCGCACCGAGATCCGATTGCGACATGGTTGGTTGGTTGATATGGACGCACGAACAAGAGGCAAATAGGGCGTGTGGACGGGATGGAGAGCGAGGTTAGAGAGAGAAGCTAGAGAGAGAAGGGATTTTGGTGCGAATGAGGTAGGGAGAGGAGAAAGCCTCGTATTTATAGTAGAGAGGGGAGAGGGAAAGCCCACCTCGAGATGTGCGCGCGCCAAGCGGGCAAATCCTCGCCCTCCGTTCAAAATTCGAATTTTGAAAATTCAAAATTTGAAATTTCAACGCACGCCGAGGGGGGGGGGGGGCAAGACGTACGGTCATGCGCCTTGTTAAAATTCAAGCAGGTGAAGAGTCATGATTGGGTAGTTATGCGCCTGTCTTCATGCAAATGGGCAAAAAGTCGTACACTGGCAATTATGCGCCCTTCTTTATGAAAGCAGGTGAGGAATCACAAACGGGCACACACAAGCGGTTATGCGCCTGATTGAGTTTAGGCAGATGAGGGGTCAGCTAGCAAGACGTACGGTCATGCGCCTTGTTAAAATTCAAGCAGGTGAATAGTCATGATTGGGTAGTTATGCGCCTGTCTTCATGCAAATGGGCAAAAAGTCGTACACTGGCAATTATGCGCCCTTCTTCATGCAAACGGGCACACACAAGCGGTTATGCGCCTAATTGAGTTTAGGCAGATGAGGGGTCAGCAAGCCAGCGTTATGCGCCTGCCTTAAACAGGCAGGCAAAGAGCCACAAACAGGCGCTCGGTTGATTGAAGGTAGGGGAAGGGTCACGAACAGGCTCCAGTTTCACATACGGTCATGAAAGCGGGTGAAAGTTTACAAGCGTCTGTAGAGGCCAACAGGTACATGGTGTGGGGGGCAAGGTGGCGTCGGGCACTTGCTAAGATCCCTAATAAGGGCGAACGGTGAACGGGTGCCGTAGCAGAGCGCCACGCGCTAAATCAATCCTTTTATAGTTAGGCACTCACGAGTGAGTACCTAACTGGGGGGCAATTGTTGGGGAAGTATGAATGAGCTTGTCTATAAACCCAGAGCCTGATGGGCTTAGAGCCCATTAGTGGCCCATTGAGACATGACCTCGGAGACACCAACGGTAACGGGGCGCATGGCGACAAAATAGGCTCGTGGACAAAGAAGTACGGCGGAGGAGGATCAGAAAAACACCACGTAGGCGGATGGTCCCCCCATGCGCCCTGTCACCAGAGTCCGACGATGCGCCACGTGGAGGCGCCCGGACGTTGGACCAGACCAGGCATTTAATGCTTGGTTGACGTAAGGCTTGGTGGCAGAAGTTGGTCGGAGCCTGGTCGAGGAGCTCGAGTAGTATAAATAGCACTCGGTAGGTGGCATTTACTCAGGTCGGTTTCTCTCACTAAATTGCTACTTCTTCACTTATCTCTCTAGAACTAGCACTGACTTGATCATCGGAGTGCTAACGAGTGGCTCCGGCCCTCTAGGCGCTAGTTTTGCAGGGTCTGAGCGCCTGCGGTGTGGCGGTTAGGGTGCGCTTGGTAGAGTGAAGTATCCGGGCTTCAACACTAATAAAGTAAGATATTTATTGAAGGAATATATGTTACACATAAGATTTTGATGCATAATGTAGTATTATGGATCTATTTTGACATTCTTGGGTTGTAACCATGCAAAAATGCACCCAACCACAAAACATCAGTTTTCAGAAATTGAAACCCGCACCCACAAAAAGAAAGAGATATCATCATCTACTGTAGGTGGATCGGTTTGGATCGGATGGGTGAGTCGATTTTTCAGTTTCTTTTGTAAATGAACTTTTCCCTTCCTGTAGCTAATTTCATAAAATCTTAGCTATTGCACGAGCATAAATTAACGGCTTAATTGCAAGTTTGGTCACTCGAATTGCTACAAAATTTCACGTTTGCCACTCAAATTAATTTATTCCATTTATAGTCACTTAAATTAGGTTAACAGTCCAAGTTTGGTCACTGGCCGTTAGTCTCCGTTAACTTTTGCTGATGTGGCGGTCAACTCTTTTAGTTGACCGTTAAATACATGACGTGGCAATTAAAAAATTTAAAAATTTAAATTAAAAATTTCCACCTCAACTATTCAAAAATAATAAAAATTCCACCTCATTTTCACAATAAATTATAAAATAAATACAAACCTAAAAATTATAATTATAATTTTTATTCCCATAAAATTCCCCATCCGTTTCTCCACCTGCAAATCTTCATCGTTCCCCCAAAATCCCCAAACCGAAGAACCTTCGAGGTCCAGGCCATGTCCGTCGAGAAGCTCCCCTTCGTCCTCCCCGCCGCCCATCTTCTCTGCTAGCATCCGCCACCATCTCCACATCGTCAACCTAACCCAATCAAGGACGATTCTTCCTTTGCACTCGCCATCCGTCCATGGAAAACCAAGTGAATGGGATGTCCTTGCTTTGAGATTTGGCCATTTTAGGGGATCAATGTGGAAGCCAGTGCTGGTGGGTTGGGCCTCCGAGTGGGCAATTTAGCTTCCGTTGCTGCTGCAATTGGGTTTGGAATTGGATATCCAGATGGGTCCGCTGAGGAATCCTCAGTGACGGACCATCGTGGCGTCGACGCTGCCGGCAATTCAAAGAAGCGGAGGGATTGAAGATGGTCACCATCACCACCACTTCCAGTCTGAAGTTCTTGCTGCTGCCTGCCGCCATCCCTTCGTCGCGGCCTAGGATTAGGGATTTGAAGGCTATAAATCTAGGGGATCCATTTGTTTCGGTAATTTTCTTCTTATACCCTGTACTGGCTCCGTCTGGGAGTAGCGGTGGCGGCAGCAGAAGGAGCGAGTTGTAGAGGTTTGAGGGTGGTGGTGTTCGGGTCCGAGGAGAATGGGTTTTTGACGAGGCCGGAAAAGGGCTTGCCGTCGAGGATGGAAGTCAGGCTCATCTCTCTTCCTCTCCCTCTCTCTTGCTCTTTTTTTTTTTTACTTACGGTCCCTCCCTCCGATCACGAGCTCTAGAAACGAATCAAGGCTTCATAGCTGGAAAAAGGAAGAAGAAGGGTTAAAGTTTGGAATACAGAGACGAAATTGCCTCTGTGCTTTTGGGTTTTGGTTTGGAATTTAGTGAGTTCCCTCGTGAGGTCTCTCGCCCATCCTTTTTATGGCCTCCATTAAGGACAAGGCAATATAGAAGAGGAAGGAGAAGCTAGTGACGGTATATTATGAAAAAGAACAACAGGCGAAGAACAACCATGCCAACAAAGAGAGTCAGAACAGAGGGTTATTCTTGAGCTTCTCGAGTCGTCGATGTGGAAGCGGAGAAGGCGGTGACGCTCGCCGAGCAGGAGAGAGAACTCGAGGCATAAATTATAATATTTATTCTTTATTTATTTTTTAATTTATTGTTATAATGAGGTGGAAATTAGAAAAAATTAAATTTTACTTTTTTATAATTTTTTAATTGCCACGTCACACATTTAACGGTCAACTAAAAGATTTGACCGCCAAATCAGCAAAAGTTAACGGAGACTAACGGAGAGTGACCAAACTTGAACTATTGAACTAATTCTAGTGACCATAAATGGAATAAATTAATTTGAGTGGCAAACGTGAAATTTTGTAGCAATTCGAGTGACCAAACTTGCAATTAAGTCAT